AATGATAAATCATCAAATGACAAAATGATAAATCATTAAATGACAAAATAATGATAAATTAATTGATTAAAAATTTGATACTAAAATAAGCTTTTTTGATGATAGAAAGTAATTAGTTACAAATGGATTAAAGAAATCAATTCTCCGCCCAACCATGGCTTAAATTAAATGACTTATTTCTAATAATATGTGAAATATAAGAGAAGTTACTACAACACTATTCCAAAACTAACATTTTAGGTAAAGAAGCATACCTAAGAGCTTAAAAGCTCTTACAGACTACAGACTTAAACAGCTGATAGTTCAGTCAGGCACTTTATTAAAATAAACACAACATTTGTTTCTTTGATTGTAATGAAATAACTCAAAAATTGCTGGGCCGATTTCAAAAATTCTTTCACCATTAAAAGCTACATTATCAGTGAGTAACATAGGCTATGTTTTATATTATTTTTTAATTTCACGCGGACGGGGTCGCGTGCGAAAGCTAGTTAATAATGAATAAGGTTTAAATCATGTGACAACCTTCAGTTTAGGCACCATTTAATAACCCAAAGTTTTATATAACTTGGACCGACCCAAACCGATCAAACTATCAGCCAATAAAAAGTCTGTAGTCAATAATAGTAATACATGAAGATAATTTTGTCACCTATAGGAACTATTAAATTAAACAGATATTAATACACTAAAATCCAAATTTAGAGACTATAATAACTAAGCTATCTACTGAAATTAATAAATACATAATGTAATAATGAAATCTATTTTTTTTATAATATAAGGTGGGAAACGAGCAAGCGACCACTTAAATCCACCGAAATGGAAAGCAACCGCTGCTCGTAAACATCCGCAATTGCAGATGCCTTGCCTACCCTTGACAGAGGAGGAGCAAGCCTATTTACTACTAATATATACCATCATCATGTGAATCTGCTCTTCTTGAATTCCGAGTTGCCCGTTGATGTGTCACCTCTCGGAGACACAGCTCCGTCTTCTGAAAACCATAAACAAACTATTATGGATGTGTTACACTGGTGAAACATTTACATGAAAACTTGTTTTATTTGAAATACAAATTTTTAATTATGATGCATCAAAATTCAAAATAAAGATATTATATTAAAAAGATATTTATATAATAAAGATATTTATATTCAATTAAATTTAGTAATAATAAAACATAAAAATGGGTGTTTATCGCGAATTGTCGCTTAAGAATGAAATAGGGTCCATTGATAAATCAATATACAGTAGAACCTCGATAACTTAAAAACCTCTATAACTTCAACAAAAAAAACTAGTTCCCTTCCTATCAGAGCCCAAAACCTCTACAACATAGACCCTTGATAACTTAAAATATTTAGTGTTTCCCTTGGACTTTAACATAAGGTTCTACTATATACAAAAAGCTTATCTGATTTTAAATGACTTAAGTCAATTTATATAACTGCATTTTTGTCATTTCCTTACAACACATTTCTCTTAGTCTCCACTAAGAGACTCCCTTACTGAGTAACTCAGCAAAGCAACATGGAGGCACAATAAACAGCCAATTACCAGCTGTCCAACAGTTTTCTCTAAGTACGAAGCATTTAGTGAACCGAGAAGAATCTTGAAGGCTACTTCCACATTCCTCTGCTCCATATATGCATGAGAATCGATCTTATTCTTCTGATCAGCAACTGTAACGAGTGTTTTACATTATCGTTTGTTCAAGATATAAAACGTACTACGTTGGCGCAGCGACCCAAAGGGAGTCTTTGCCTCCGACACAAGAGACAACAGTGCCAGATATAAAATTTATTAATATAAAGTAAAATTACAACATTTTGTAGTTTATTACCTAGTTTATTTAACTTCTTCAATGTATCATCACTTTCAGCGACTTTATCTACTTTTTTAACCGGCCGTTTTGTTCTTGGCATTTTATTTACAACTTATAACAATTAACTTAAAACCTTTGACACCTTTACAGTAATACTTTACTTTTACTACGATAATATATATTTGTCGTGCACTTATTTCTTTTCTAAATATGAGCAAAACTTAATTTTAAACAAAACACAAACCCGACAAACTTTTCAAACCGACATTTTTAAAATCGTCGTTCCGTTCGGAATTCGGATACAACGCATAGCATAACTTGTTAATGTAAATCGATTAATTGACGGATTGTATTAAGCGTGTAATATTTAAAATGCCTGGAATAAATTAAATGGAAAACGAATAAAATAAATAAAACACAATTTCGGAAAATCTGCCTCTTTCCCTCGATCTGGACCAGTTATCTGTTGATATCTGGTAGGCAGTAGTTTATCTGTAGTTAAATTGTTATGATGAATGAAGAATGGCGGACGTTGTCAGAGTGGGATATTTGTTCACATTTTTATTAATAAATTCTTGTTATGGTAAGTAAAAACGGAGATTTTTGTATAAAACGTTAAATAATAGTGTAATACACATTGCGTACAAATTTAGAACCTTAAAGTTTATTGTAACATTGGATAACGTAATGGCATCTTTACGTGATTTCATACCCCGTATTTATTATTGTTTTTCTTTACGACGCATTATGTATTGCTTTAGTTATTCTATCGTACTGTAGAGTCTTTATGAAATCGATTAAAGTTATAAACACATACAAAAACATTTAATGCTTAGAATCTAGAACAAAATTCTGATCAAAACATTAGTGACCTCGAAACAAACCCACAATGTATTATTGAAATGCGTGTGTTATGGACTATTTTTCATATTTTTCAAGGTCTTGTGTCTAATAATACAGCTACAAATTATAGTATTTGATTAATATACAATTCTGTAACGATTATAAGACACTAAATATCTAAAAATTCGCGCAAAATTGTAAACCCTGGTTGTTGATATTAAGAAATCACAGATTGAAAAAGAAAACACTTATACTATTAATATATAAGCGTAAAACCTTTAGATATAACATATACACCATACATTCATGTTAAAGAGACTAGTTTTATCTTAAAGAGTATTAGTAAAATGGCATTTTATGAGTAAATCAGCTCTAAACCAGTTCAAAAGATCAGTTTTAATAGCTTTGTAATATTGAGCTGTGGCAGAACTAAATAAAAACTAAATTATCAGCTCACAATTTAACACCATGCCACTATCTATCACACTATCAGGATGAGCCACCTGCCTGTTGTCCTGTTATAGATAGAAATAAAATAAAAAAAATGGAACACAATTTATTGACCAAAAGAATTATAAAACAGAACACAACTTACAAAACATATTAGTTACTGTAATAAAAATAAAAAATAAAAATTCTTGACCAAAAGGAGAAGGCTCTGCTGATGCAGCCTCCAGCTTGTCACTAAAGGCTGCGTTGGTTTTCAGCCTCCCCTTAACTACTATAACATGGTTCAGTTTATGATATAGAAATAAGATTTTAATGTATATTTAAGTTTTAACTTTAAAAAATAATAAAGAAATAAAGATAAGCCCATTCCCCAGGTCTCTGATTAAAATTAGCCTACCTTAAGTTAGGGTGACTAGGCCATAGTCAACCACACTGGCCTACTGCATGTTGGTTGACTTTACACATATCTTTGAATTTCTT